ATATAATATATATATATATATATACACATACATATATATTTATAGGAAGAACAATGAAACGAATAGATGGACTCATTAAATGTTCTTTATCTGTATACTGTTCGTGGATATCTTAATTAGATAGATAACGAAGTACGTTAAACGAGTAAAGCCAGAACGCTGACGCAATCACGAATACAACGTGAATCTACATGATTCAAGCACGGTACTATCGATGCAGTCAATACCCAGTTGCGAGCGTTCCGTTTTGGGATTTTGTCGGTACATCCTCGATTCCCGTCAAATTATAAATGTCATAACTGAATACGATGAAACTCTGTCGATATATAGCGTGTATATTGTATAACCGATTGATTATTTATCCGCGGTTGCTCGAATTTGGATCTGAACTGCGGCCGAAAAAGGAAAGGGAGAGGGGCAAGAAAAAATTTACAGTCCATATAGAGACGATATGTGTGCAGTGCTAGTCGACAGAAAGCCCATTGTAAAAGATTGCAATGAGACACAATTCTTGCGAGCGATTGACCAAATTAAGTAGTATATGATAGACGATCTTCGATTTTCTCGTTAGAGCGATATTTTTGTTTCGGCTTCGCACATATCTCGGATAGTGATTATCGGTCGCGGATTATCGCATGTATATGTTCTCGCCTCTGATATTGTTTATGTTTTCCTTCCCGTTCTCCTATTTATTCTCTTTATGCTACGTCTCGCGCAAGAGAGGATTGATAAGACCGATTTTTCCAATACCGATTGACTTGATTCGTAATTTTCAATTTTTTTTTCTAGATCGTGATATCTTGCTAATGTAATAACAAATAGTGACGTAAGGTCTAATTGACTGCAATTTATGCTAGTTGGCATTGGCAGAATCGGTCCCTCGAGAGACTATAGCTAATATTGTAGATACTGAGTTTTTATATTGATCATCATTTATGCGAATATTTTCTACTGCTCTTAGCATTTTTTTAAGAGTATATATTAATCATTTTCATTCTCGTGTCGATATCTTCAATTCCGCCAGCGCGTATGTATATCGATGAGTATAAATAGATGTATACAATTTGATAGGATAGTTGAGAGAAAGTTTTTCGAGTGCGGTTAAAGGGAACGAATATATATCTGTAAAGTCGGTTTGTGTGAAGTGAGAAATAGTTAATAGCATCATTCGAGCGGATACAGATGTTTGATGCAGATGCGAGGCGGAGGAAGCGGCCAGATATATTCTCGGGCTTGGTATCAACGAATACGCTTCCCTTCCTTCATCGATGTACATTTCCATTTTTCGTTCGTTTGCTCTCTCGATTAATTTCACACTTCGCGTAGTCGGGACGTATTTTTGTATAATATAATATGAAACGTATAGGATTTTCTCTGAGCGTAACCGGCCGCCGCGGGGACAGTTAGTTAGTCTGTAAAATTGGTAGCTACAAGTCGAGCCTCGACCGCAGAGATCGCGCAGAGTTCTTCAAGGGTCGCTGGTAGCTCTAGAACGGTGACGCGAGTCGACTCGATCATTATTAATATTAATTTCAAAATTAAATATTAGAAAATAATTATTAATAATATTATATATATATTAATATATTGTTACTAATATTATTTATCATGCGGGAAGAATTCGTGCAATTTTATTACAAATATGTTTACAGAAAACCTCTAGCAGAGAGTAATAAAATTGAAACATCAAGAAAGTACACGTATTCTGACTTCAATGCATACTTTATGAATAAATCTAATTTATCATTTTATCTCTGAAAGGTGCATGATATTCTTCACTTATCTCATACAGTCATTTGTGCATGGAATTAAAATATTCCGTTGTATTTAAATATCTCTTTTACTCTTCATCTCGTTGTACAATAGATCATTTTCTTTGTCTTTGTCCCGTTTGATCGGCATCGCGCCTAAAGCTACCGGCGACCGAGCGCAACAGGACAATATTACGTAAATATTATTATCATATTATAGGAAGGTGTGTGAGATGAGATAATCCAATTGTATTCTATCTCTTTCGCTGTAAACTAGGAACATATTCTTGTCGCAACTTCTTACCCCGGCAAATATAGTTTAGATAAAGCCTCCCGGTCGCATAAGGATACACACTGTACATTGTACACTGTATATTATTAGTATTTATGGAAGGGATTATTTATCGAAAGCAAGACGATCGAGCTGAAATAACGAGAGAAAGAGGTAGAGAAAGTGAAAAAAAATCGACACCACATCGTATTTTTTTTCATTGTAATCTAATAGAAATGCCTTGTTGTTGCTTCAAGAACGGCTTGTCGCGCTTCTCGTTTTCTTCTTAGAGAAAGATATCAAGAGAGAAAGTGCAGAGTCTCCTAGAAAGGGCTTTACTGTTATTTAGTTTTAATATAATTCCATTTGTGCTCTTGCATGTGCATATATATATATAAAGAGCAAAGGAGGAGAGAGAAAGAGGTCATCAATTATGAGGCGAGATGGTGATTCCAATTTACAACGCGAGAATAATTTCGAGACATGCGCATATGCGATAATTTGCAAAATCAGTCAAGTGTTTCGAAAATTATTTGTAAAGTCGTATATATATATATATTTTATATATATATATATATATACATTTATATTTATTTTATAAATATACACAATTCGCGCACAATCTCTTGTAATGTAATATACAAGTTACCAAATTTGTTATATGTCTTTTTTTTCTCCTTTCTTTTTCTCTTTCTCTCTGTCCTCTTCATTATACTTTTTATTATACTTTTTTAAAAAAGTTTATCATGTTTTTAGAAAATTTGATTGTAATTTCGAGTAATTGTAAGTAGAAAATTGTTGCTTGGATCTGTTTACGCTGTAAATTGAGTGGTTGGCGAGATTAAAACGTTTAATAGAAACAAATGCGAATAAGAACGTTTATCGTCGAAGCGGAAAATCGTGTACTTTGTAATGATATTACGCAATATAATACGTGTGCATATACAGCGCGATGTACTATTATTGTCGATCGTTACTCGTGGCGCCGATTATTAGTGGCGGTATGATGATCCACCGCTGTTAATATGATTTTGATAACAGGGCAGGAACAATCTGAGATCATAGTGTGAGCGCGCAATGACGAGCCGACAATGCCTTCTCGTTGTACAAATGTCGAGGTAAATGAAGGAATAAAAGGAAATCGTATAAACCGCGATCGTGGTGTCAGAGTATCTTTTGGCGGCGTATAGCTTTATAAGAACACAAATCAGCATAATCTTCGCTGTAATAGGGAAAAAGAGAAATGAAAGAATATATGTAGTGATCCGTAGATAGTGCAAAGAAAATTATATATATGGAATATGTGTGCTACATGCGCACATCAAAATTATGCGTGTGCAGCATGCGAAGCATAATCGAATGGCGATTAAAGTCGTGATTTGGACGAGACTGAAATAAATCTAATGGATAACTGAATAGTTAATTGATATGGATTAAATAAATTTACGATTAATAGTACAATTAAAAATTCATTATATACTATTCATCTCTATGAGTAAATTGTATATACATTTTGTATATTTCAGAATCATGAGACGTCTTTTCAAATATAGATTAAAAAGTAAATTAAGGAAAATCATAGTTTGATCGACATCTTTTGTTCTTCAAGGGAATAAAAGGATTAAAAATTTTGACTTTTAATCTTCAGTGTATTGTAGCAGAAAATTTAATTAGAAATTTTTATTTGGAAATAAAAAATTTTATAAATTTACTTGTTGAGTATAGAGAATTATTCTAAATTTACATAGGTATTTGTCGTAAAGTCTGAAATGACGTTACATGATTTTGTAAGAGTCGAGCACAAAGATGCAACCACTGCGACTTTGTTATTCGTTATAGTATTGTGTCCAATACACGTAATATTGTTTTTTGTGATAATTGTCCTACAAGTAGACTAATTGTGAGGGAAATGCATTTGTCTCGTCCAAATTGGATGACTGTAGTCGTCATGTGGTCGCTTGCTTTCACATTCGACCACGCAAACACGTGCTTGGCGATGATCAAGGACAAGCGCGAAATAATATCATTATCCTGCATTCAAATAACGAAAGGGACCGCTCTACTTTCTATAGTATACTCGGCGTTTAAGGTAGTACGCGACGTTACTGGATAGAGAGGTATATACGAAGAAAGGCGGTTTTGCTTCCGAGCGTTGGAGGGGTTCAGCTTGAAGAGTCTTTTATTCCGCTTACTCATCCCTACGTGGCGCGTTATTTAGGGAAACTGCGGAGGGCGACGATAAAGATCGAGAAGTGCAGGCTTTTGCTACGCGAAGTAGGTATTTATTGGGTAGAATAACTGATCTATAATCTTAGAAAATTCAGATGTCAATGCTGCGTAATCGTCTGACAATGATCTCTGTCTTTATTTGTGTTTAAGGAAACACACAATGAGACACGTATTTCCACGTTGCAGCATTGTAACTCGATCTTTCCCAGATTACATCGGTTCACAATATTTGCTATTTATGCTTGAAGTTCGGTGTATTCGTTATATGCGCGCTCCAAGAATTTTTAATTATTGAGGCTGCGCACCGAGTTAAGTTTGGCATGTTTTCTACTCGCGTGAAACGCAACATAAATAGCATAAGTAACGTTATGTCGAATGAACGGGACGTCTTGAGAATGGCGCCGCGGAAAGAATACACATTCCAGCGTTTTTCCTCCATTTCGCGGCAGGCACGGTTCAGTGCACGTTGTATGTTAATTAATTTTGCGAATCAAATCTCTAGCATGCCATAATCTCGTTTCGTTCCGTTGTTTTTTACACCCTTCCTCGTCCACCCTCAAGTGCAAATAATGCAAACGATGTCGAACGATGTTTAACGTTTGATGTCTGCGTATATAATGATAATAATCGTTGCTGTAGATTCTCTCGAGAGAAATAATATACTTATATTGAATTATTATTTACGATTATTATTTACGACATACTTTATATTATATTATCATTAATGCCAATTACACTGCAGATATGTTGTTGTAATATTTACTATGTAGCACATCAATGGCGTTTAATAGAGAATATTTATTGAAATTATTTACCATAAAACAGAAGTTGTATGTACCTTAGTTATATTAAGAACCTGTTAACTAATCGAATTATCATGATCCCATTATTATCCTGAAAACTTTTTGTATCAGCAAATCATAGATAAATTGTTTTGTTATACAGGATCTATAAATTCATCACAATTAGTATGCGATCAAAAAGTGAATAACTGTGAATAACTACATGAACCTTATTTTTCCTTTCAAAGTACCTATCATCCTTGCATCATCTTTCCTGGTTAAATTGCTTAGAAGTTGTTTGATAGTACATGTCTATTTATAAAAAATTTTATAGCAAACATATTTGCATTCACGTACAAATTTACAACAAAGAATTTTTAAAAGAATATCAACGTTACCTAATTTTATGTCCTGGAACAACACATTTGTAACTTTTTTCTACAAACAAAAATAGTCAAGTGTTTGTCCGATTTCGAGTAATGCATTACATAACTAATACTAACTAATGCTAACTATATATGTATAGGTTTCAACGAAATAATAAAAAGGAATTTGACTGCAAAATCCGGTAATTATTTATGTTAAAATTATTGTCTCTTATATTTAGTTTTAAAAAGAAAAGAATAAAAGTAGAAAAAATGTAACTAAAACAATTTTTTTTAGTGCTTTACTTGAAGTATAATGATATTAAAAAAAAAAGATTTACATTGCAGTATTACGAGATTTATAGAAGTTAATACAGGTCATACAATTAGGTGATTCGTGTTGTACATTAAGTATATTTCACGTTCATATTTTTGTTCAGAATTTACCCAATCTATACCACTTGTCCGTATTCTTTGTTTCAAACAAATCTTTTAAATCGACTAAAAAATTTTTATGGATTTGAAAATTTTGTGCAATGTATGAAAGTTAAGAATTTCTACGAATTCTTTAATTTTACGGAAATTAACCTATAGATTAAACAAAGACGCCTATCGTATAGGCCGCGGACTAAACGCACGGTGTAAATCAAGCCATTAAAAATAGAAAACTGCTTAAAAAAATTGAAATCTGCACTTATCATGCTCTCTGTTATAATACTAATCAAGTTTCAAACTGATATACATGTAATAGATCGAATTTTAAAAATCTTGTCCCCATTTCTCCTAGCTTTTAGCATGACAGATTGAATATCTTGATGATAATCTAAAGATATATAGCTTATATATAACACACTCAATAACTTCGCTCACTTACACGCATAATATATATATGATTTTAAGGTTAAAGGAGTTTAATGGAGAAAATTTACTCAAATTAGTATAAATGAAAAGACGTGTTTTAGCAATTTTAAAGGTCTATTAACTAATCCAATTATCAATAATCCCATGAAAGTTTTACATTAGAAAAACATATAAATGCATAAATTATATCCTTTATTTTACAAAATTTTTGAATTATTTTATTTAAAAATAGCAATGAAATGACAATTAACTAAATATAAAACTTATCTTAAACACCGGATTATTTGAGAACGCTTTCCACTTTTATTCTTAAACCTTCATTTGATCTTTGCTCGTTAAACTAGTCAGAAGTATACGTTCGCGGTGGTACATGGTCCATCTGCAAACATTACGAATGATATGTGAATATATATCAAAATATTATCTTATTATGATAATGTTTTATAAGAAAATATGCATGTACATAATTTATAGGGATGTATTATAGAGAAAACTATGAGAGAATCACACACATATTTAAATATTTAATAATTATGTAGAATAATATATTTATAGTTATTTCATTATAAAGCTCGATATGACTGTATCTCGAATCTGATTAAAACTTACCTAATGGATACCACCCCTCTTTCCCTGAATCTATTCTATAGCGGAATTCAATGCGTAGCGAAACGCTATTGGAATGACGTAAGAGCCCGTTCACACGGTACGGTTTTTTGACCGTTTCGGTAATTTCACTGAATCGTATCGTGTGAACGCGTCCATATAAAATGTATTGCCACTGTAGAGCACGGCAACAGTACCGATTCGGTGAAATTACCGAAACGGTCAAAAAACCGTACCGTGTGAACGGGCTCTAACTCATACAAAGCGGTGCTTCATCGATTGCTGCAAAAATATTTTAAGGATTAATCGGAAATCGACCGTTTAATATCTCTAATTTCGATACGCTAAAGAGAGATCTTTTTTATTTTAAAATTTTTTCTTATATTGTGTTTATCTTATTTAAATTAAATGAATTATTGAAACGCGCGCTTATAAATCGATTTAATTCATGTAGGTTTGAAAATCTTTCTAAAAGAGAATTACTACGAATTTATGAACTCTATGCAAATATGTATAAATATATTCAAGATTTCATTTTTCATAGTAAAAAATAATTTGAATAAAAGAGTTTTCATCTTACTTTTTGAACCGAAGATACCGTTTGCATTGACCGAGTTTTTGCATAAGTACACGCGGAAATCTTTAGGAATATCTTTCACTCCCGGTGGGTTATAATTCTATAAAAATAGTCAAATACTTTAGATAATTTAATTATGTATTTCTAAGACAGTCTCACTGAATTAAAACAGTTGCATCTTGACAATAATAGCTTTACTGAAATTTGATGAAAATAACACACACGCAAGTTCTATCATTTATTAATATTCCTGTTTTAGGATCGTACATCAAATCCTCAGAAGTCCAGTATCCTATTCCCATCACGAAAGCTCCCTCCACCTGACCAATGTCAATTTCCGGATTTAAGCTTTGACCTGCATCGATCATCAAATCAACCCTTCTGATAATGTGCTGACCGGTCAATACATCAATCTCCACTTCAGCACTGGTAACACCGTAAACGGGGTTCATTGTTGGTCCATCTTTCGTTGGTTCGGTCGTCAACCTGCCAAGGTAAATGGAATTATGTATTATATAATAATTAATTATGTGTATAGCATCCAGCAATATTCTCCCACTATATATAAATACAAAATATATTTAAATTTATTCATCGAAATCATTCCGAAAACACATGATAAATACGCTTAATACTCAATCAGCAGACAATGTTTTAAAAACTCTTAAAAAATTTAATTAACGTAAAAGTATTTAATAAATATTAAAAAAATATTTTTTTAAATATTGTGTGCTGATTGGGTAATTACAGAAAATACAAATGGAATATTTAAATTTTTCACACAATGTAGAATTTATTTCAATCAAAAATGCAAAAGATAGGACAAACGTTTCTTTCGAAAACAAGTAAAATATTTTCGGAAAGATATTAAAGTGCTTTATGACATTGTGTGACGTAATACATCACTGATGTGTTAAATAAGATTTAATATATGACGTTTACGTGTGCATAAATCAATGTTTTCTTTAAACGCTTTAAAAATGAGTGCCTTCCATGTCGGATTTTTCATTTTTTTTCTTATCGGTTCGAGTTTATCCAAAATCTCTGTGCAAGCTTGGATCGATGTCTGAAATAAATCCAACAATCGCTATTATCATCAAGTTTTAAGTTATGTATGTGTACATTGATATCGTCTTCCACTGTGATGGAGACAAATTGAATTCTTACGTATGCACATGTTTCTGTAGTAATGCTGTGTCCTGTAGTTGATTTGTTGGGTGCCGTTAAATTATTGCTTTGTTTAACGGAAATTAATTGGATATCGATACCCAGTGTACGAGCTGCTATTTGTGCGATCTAGTATACAAGAATTATTTTTAAATTAGCAGAAATGTAAAACGTCTTACATATTAAATCGTTCTTTTTGCGATTTAAAATATAGAAATCTCCAATATCACAGCTTCTAATACTAATTTTTAAAAATAAAAACTTAAGTCCAAAGGAATAGTATTGTTAAGTACAATTTTCCATTAGTTTGTTCATAGTTAGATGAGAATCATGAAAGAACTCGCTTAGATAAATCACTGCATTTTCATACCTTGGTATTTATGCCTTGATCGATCTCAATTCCGCTATGCAACACGCATACCGAACCGTCGCGAGCACAAACCGACACCATCGCGTCGAATTGCCCTTCATACGTTATCAAATATTTCATCGGTAATATGGCAATTCCCTTTTTCTTCCAGCGATTGTAATTATTGAAGTTATCAATAAATATCTTACAGTTGGTTAAATTTGACAAATCTTTTATCATAGGTTCTAATACAGATTTATCCATATCATTCATATTCGCCAATCTGACTTCAATCGGATCCTTCTTCGTCACTTCCGCAATGTGCTCCATTATATTTTCGATCATAGCTATTCCTTCTGTAGATCCTGATGCCCGACAAAACGTATTTGACGGTAAGTCTGTTCTCACGTCAAATCCATTGAACTCCCAAGTATCGGTTAAATAGCAGCTTTTAACGATAAAAAATCGTTTATGATATTTAATTAAAAGCGGAAGATTAATTACTCACACACGCGCGCGCGCGCGCGATAGAGTGTTTTCAAATTTGATTCAGTTAATTATTGAAATCTATTTTATCGTAGTTAATTGAAGTAATTTTTTTTATTAACATTAATACTATGACACTTTTTTTCATTGAATATGTTTCAAAATTCTTTTAAAAATAAGATAAAAATATTTTTATGTATTATAATATTTCTGTTTAAAAATTCGCTACCGAGTTTTAAAATATTGTGCACAGAAAGTCTAATCGACAAATTTTAATATTAGAGTAGTGCCTTAATATAATATGATATTGTCATAAATAGCTTAAATTTTTGTTCATACTACGTGTTATATTTGAATAACATTATATATTATTACATTATAAAATAATTAGACAAAAATAAAAAATAAATTAAAAATATATTTAATTACAAAAACAGACTATTAAATTTATTACTAGCTCGTTTTTTTACGGTGAGTATGCTTACAAAGAAAACAGGCCCGCCGATAAATTCGGCGGGGGTAGTGGAGAGCCTCTAGCTCGTTTTTTTTGCTAATTAAACCTTAAATTAACAATATATGATTGGAAAAGTTTAAAGTGTATTTAAAGTCTCTATAATTGCTAGTAATTATATATACTTTGGAATATATTATATTTACATACTACACTGAAAGAAAAAATTGGTTTTTGCAATAATTTAGATAATAAAATATGGGGCATAGCATTTTTAATTAGCTGTAGCAACCAGTTTTTGATTAAAGCAGCAAATTTTTAGTTACGTTAGCCTATCCGCAATGTCAGTATATGATTTCGATAGGCTAATGCAACTAAAAATTTGCTGCTACAACTAAAAACTGGTTGCTGCAGCCGATTAAAAATGCTATGCCATATATTACTATCTAAATTGTTGCAGCAGCCAATCTTTTCTATCATTATAGTAATTATGGTAAAAATGAGCTGATGATTTACATAAAAAGACATAACTTCGTAATTCTATTTTTCCGCAGACGCGTACTATAAGACAAAATTCATTAAATTAATTTGTTTGAATATTAAAGTTCGTTTCTTAAAATTCAACAATTATTTCCATTGTAGGAGATGCGAACTTAAAATTTTTGTTTAAGGACCCATTAATAAACGTTACGTTATGTAAACATTTTTATTGCAGAATTCGGATTTCCTTGAATTATACGCGAATTTTGTGTTATAACATGCACGTATATGAGGTATCTTATATAAGCAAAATGTGTAAGCAAAAATGTTGTAAAAATGTGTAAGCAATTTGTGTATTTTATATTTTATTGTTTAAGAAAAGATTTAATAATTTGGAACATTAATTTGGTAAGTTATTCGAGAAACTAAAAACATTGTATATAAATTCACATGAAATTATTTTTATTACGCTAGATATTCACGTAAACCTTTAGAATACCGGACTGGCCACTACAGTGGCCAGCGGAAAACTCGTTGACTCCTCGTGACATAAATATTCAATATATACATACATGAACTTTACACAAAAAATTCAAAATTTCGAGGCAAAAATGCCGGTCTTCTAAAGGTTAAGTGATACAGTATTGTGTTGATAAACTTTATATATGAGAAACTAGGCCACACTTAATTAACATAAGATTTTCAAACGTTTCAAACTTTTAATAACAAAATATTTGTAATTTTTGAAAACACAAATATTATAATTATTAACTTAAAGGGAAAAAAGGAATGAGAAGATTATTAGGTACTAAAGCAATATAGAACAATATAACCTAATATCTCCTATTTCTCTCTCTCTCTCTCTCACACACACACACACACACACACACACACACACACACACACACACACACCAATCAAATATATAATAATACAAAATTGTACACAGATTGAAACTCATTATACTTACAACATTTCCTATCAGGAGCTCGAAATTTTATAACGAACTGAATTTTTGAAACCTTGTGCTTATTAAACTATTTTTTAACATAATGCATTTGACTTCCTGATGATCACTGAAAGCCTAGCTTATATTAGCGCTCAAAAACCTAGCGTAACGGTACGAGCGCTAATGATTTTGAACACAAAATTTTCATATAGCATTTTAGAGTTAAATGAGTTTAATGAAGAAAATTTGTTTAACAGCATAAGTGAGAAGAGATGTGCATTAGCAGTTTTAAAGACATTTAATTAGTCGAATCATCATGATTCAATTGGTACCGTAAAAGTTCTTAAATCAACAAAACGTGAATACTTAAATCTAATCTAATTAACAAAATTTTTTGAATATACTACTTATATAGCAATTAAAAGGCTAATATAATACAAAATTTACTTCAAACACCAGTTTCTTTGAGAACGATTCCTATATTTGTTTCTTTTTCGTAAACCATCATGTCTTTGTTAGTTAAGCTAGTCAAAAGTATACGTTCGGTAGTACACGGTCCATCTGTAAATATAACGAATTACATTTTAAAAGTACATATTTTTAAATCTTATTTTATTATAAGGGTATTTTATAACAAAATATGTAAAACAAATTAAATAAAAAAAATTAAAAATATATAATTTGTGAAAAAGTAACGTAGAGAAAAATATAAATCACGAATTTAATTATGTAAAATAACATATTTTCAGGTATTTAAAAAAGAAATTTTAATATTTATGGTCTGACTTCGAGTAATGTAACATATACCGTGATTCGTGATTAATATGAATAGAGTGTTATTTATAATATAGTTCTAAAAGATGATAAAAAGGAAATAAGACCATAAAATCCTGCAACATTTCTTCTTAGATTATAGTTTCAAAGAGAAACAAGGAGTAGAAAAAATTCATTTTATACGACGGTAAATCCAAAAGAAAGTTTCCCTATTTTCGGAAAAATATTGTAGAAAAACAAATTTAAAAATCAGAAAAAATTTTTTTTAATATGTTACAATTTGGTCCCTCCAAAAAAGAAAATCGCCTTTTTTTCTAGCGGAAATCGTTGTATCGTGAAAAAAGTTTTTTCACATCTTGTGTGTACCACAGCATGTCCACTTTTCGCGAACTGTTTAAGATCAATTAAAAAGTAAGAGTGTTTCTGTATAACATTTTCCTGTTACTTACCCAATGTTAAATAAGGATAAGATGAATGCACGTACATTGTTAAAAATTTCATGAAATTTATTATACTAATTTAATATACTTTTAAGTTACACAATTTGAACTTAGTTTCCTGACATTACATTATATTTGAGCCGTTTATTTTGAAAGTGGCCTAAGTCCATTTGTCAATTTTTTGTTGTTGACTGTAGTAGCGTGTACAACTTGAAGTTAGCTGTCATAAACAACATTTTTTTTTTAAATGGACTTAGGTCACTTTCAAAATAAACGGCTCATTTAATGTATTTATAATTGAAAAGTATGTTTGTGTACATGTACATGAAATTTAATGACACGTTCATTACATTTAAGTAACTAATGTAACTTAATTTTTAGTTAAATCATTCATTTTAATTTCGTTCATAATTACAAGATGCATTTACATGTAAAGGAAACTCGTGGTTACATTTCTAACAGTATAGACATTCTCTAATGTTTCTGAACGAAACCCTAAGTGGTTCTTCGTGCCTTAGAAATACCTTTCTTGCTCCAAGCGACTTTTATCTGTTCACAAATTTGAAGCTCTATTTAGACGGCTAGCGTTTAATATTGATGAGGAAGTTAAAACGACGGTTAATAGGTAACTCATACGTGAAAATTTGCATGCCGTGATACAATAATTTTTTCATGATATAATAAACGCATAAAAAGACATATTATTTTTATAAGAAAATAATCAAATTGTGTAATGAGTTATAATAAATTTTTTTAGATCTTTAATCTTTGTTTTTCTGTTTTTCCTAAAATGAGGAAACTTTCTTTTGGACTCTCGTAAAAGTGTAATATTTACAAAATATTAAAAATAAATATAAGCACCGAATTAAAGTACTGTGGCAATTAAATGATTAGTACTTGCTGCAAAAAATCCAAATCATAAATTTAGAGAAGATTTATATGTTGAATTGTCAAAGATACGAATGTATCTCTTCTTAAAACTTACCTAGTTGATACCATTTCGTATTCCCTGCATCCGCTCTAGCGGAATTCAATGCGTAGCGAAACGCTATTGGAATCACGTAACTCATACAAAGCGATGATTCTTCGATTGCTACAAATATATTTTCGGTATTAATCAAATATGTCAATCGTTTAATGTTCCTGATTTCGATATCCTAAACCGAAATTCTCTTTTTACTTTTATTAAAATTTTTATTATTTTTCTCTTAACAAATTAATTGATTTATTGAAACGAGCGCTTGTAAATCGATTAAATTGATTAAATGATTTTTATGGATTTAAAAATTTTTCTAAAAGAATTTCTACGAATTTTTTAATTAGGCAAAAATGTAGAAAATATTCAAGACTTTATTTTTTGTAATACAAAAGTAATTTATTACTTTTGCAATATAAAAAATAAAGTCTCGAATCATAATCAACAAAAGTGTTTTGGATCTTACATTCCGAACCATAGATACCGATTCCATCGAACGATTTACTGAGTAAGTATACGCGGAAATCTTCAGGAATGTCCTTCGCTCCTGGTGACTTATAATTCTATGAAAATAATCAAATACTTTAGATAATTTAATTATATAGTTTAGGCACAATCTCGGCGAATTGAAGTAGTAGAGTCTTGGCAATATTAGGTGTGCCAAAATTTGATAAAGTTTGATAAACGTACCCATAATCTGTTATTTGTTAATACTCCTGTATCAGGACTATATATCAGATCCTCAGAAGTCCAGTATCCTATTCCCATCACGAAAGCTCCCTCCACTTGACCGATGTCAATTTCGGGATTCAAGCTTACACCATTTTTAATCATCAAATCGACCCTTCTGATAACGTGCTGACCGGTCAGTACATCGATCTCTACTACGGCAGTAGCGACACCGTAAATATCTTCCGTTGGCTCATTTACTATCCTGCCAAGGTATACATATAAACGGAATGTATTACATAATAATTAATAATTTGTGTAGCATCTCTTACGACATAAATTCAAAGTTTAAATTTATTTATTTTTCAAAATCTTTCCAAAAGTATATGGTAAATACGTTTAATAATAATTATAGGAAATGCAAATGGAATATTTAAACTGCGTTTTTTTACAATGTACATCTATACTAAAAATGAGACATAAGTTTCTTCCTAATATTTTCGGAAACATTTTAAAGTGCTTTATGATATTGTGTGACATAATATATCACTGTCAAATACGATTTAGTGACATTTACGTGTAACTTGCGCATAAATCAATGCCCAGTTCATACGCTTTAAAAATGAGTTCCTTCCATGTCGGATTTTTCATTTTGTTTCTTATCGGCTCGAGTCTAATCATAATCTGTAGGCAAGCGTGGAGCGTCGCCTGAAAAAAATAGTCGATCTCATCGTCAAGTTTTAAGTTATGTATACAGGGTGAGAGAAAAGTCCTGGACTGACGAACTATCTCGAAAACAAAGAATTTTTCGGAAAAATGATACAGACAAAAATTGTAGGGTTTAAAAAGATCTATTTATTTTGATCACATCTGTTTGATCTGTTTGATCTTGGATGGCATCGCTAAGGTCAGGTCAAGGTCTACACATACAAAGATCTTTATTGTGGTATTTTAAAAAGCTATTGACATCAGCTATTAAATTCTGGAATCAAAAATAGTGTCCCGTTTAAAAAAATCGGTGTGGTCTTGATCTGACTTTAGCAACATCACTTAAGATCAAACAGTTATGATAAGTTGGTAGATCTTTTTAAACTCTACAATTTTTATCTGAATTATTTTCCCCAAAAATGCTTTGTTTTCAATATTTACCGATCCGGGATTTCTTATTCACCCTTATGTGTTACGTTATGTATATATGACACTGTCTTTCACAGTGATGTAGACGAATTGAATTCTTACGTTTCCGCAGTATTCTACGGTAACGCTGTGTCCTGTAGTTGACTTGTTGGGTGAAGCTAAATTATTGCTTCCTTTAACAGAAACTGTATCGATATCGACTTGCAGTACATTAGCTGCTATTTGTGCGATCTGGCGTACAAGAATTATTTTTAAATTGACAGAAATGTAAATCGTCTTACATACTAAATCAAACTTTTTCTAATTTCAATAAATTTATGAGATGATTAATCCATATTCAAAATCCACAGAATATGTAACATGAATAAAAAGTGATAAAAATCGAGAAATAACAAATAACAAAGTTTTTGATTCTAGTTTTCTAAAATAGTAACTCAAATTTAAAAAATATAATTTTTAAACATAATTTTCCATTAGCTTCTTGATAGTTAGATGAAAAGCATGATAGAACTTACTTGAATAAACCATTGCATTTTCATACCTTTGTATTTATACCTTGATCGATTTCAATTCCGCTATGAGTCACGCATACCGAACCGTCGCGAGCGCAGATTGATACCATTGCATGGAATTGTCCTTCAAATGTTATCAAGTATTTCATCGGTACCAAAGCAACTTCCTGTTTCTTCCAACGATTTTCTGAATTGAACCAAACAGCGCTACTTTTGCTATTATCGTAATTTGCCTTTTTCAACAAATCCTCTATCATGGGTTTTAAAACTGATTTATCAATATCATTCATATTCGCCAGTCTGACCTCAATCGGATCCTTGTTCGTCACTTTCGCAATATGCTCCATTAAATTCTCGATCATAGCCACTCCTTCCGCGGATCCTGATGCCTGACAAAACGTATTTGACGGTAAATCGGTTCTCACGTCGAATCCGTTGAACGTCCAAGTATCAGTTAAATAGCAGCTTCTAACGATAAAAAATTGTTTGTGAATAAAAATGGATGATTAAACACACACAATAGAGTGTTTTCAAAATTGATTCAGTTAATTACCGAGAATTATCTTTATCACTATTAATCGAAGTATTTTTTTAAATTAACGTTAATATTAGGTATTTTTTCCTTTTTTGGAATGTTTCAAATTTCTGTTCAGAGAATAGAATAAAAATAGTTTAATTATATTTTATAGTGTATCTCCTTTTGCTTACAAAATTGCCACTTAATTTCAAAATGATGTGCACAGAAAGTGCAATAAATAAATTTTAATATTAGAGAAGTGTCTTATTATTATATATTATTACGAAAAACTGCTTAAATTTTTGTTTATACTACATGTTGTATTTCAATACCTTTGCATGTAGGAAGCTATCATGGCTGCTTGTGGTTCGTTGAAACTAGAACCGCAATTGCTCCAGTGTTTCGAATTGAGATACTGTACAACTCCGTCATTGTTCACTCCGATCTTATATTCTTGACGAGTAGAACATCTTTTGCCTATCGATTGCATATTGCTATCCGTCGTCATGATGAATCGCGCTGGACGCCTCAGTATGTGACATACCAATGCGCAAGCACATGAAATTTGCGCGTTGCGTGAGATTTTTGAACCGTATGAACCGCCAAGTCGATTGACATGCACATTGATGCTTAAAAATTATATTCACAAAATTAGTGCTAAGTTAATTTACAAAATGCATTTTTCTAATATTATTTTGCTTATTTAATTTATTTAATTTTATAAGAAAAAAGAAATAATTTAATTCTTATTCTATAATATTATTGATAATTTCAATGATATTGATATTGACAATAGAGACATTATTGAGTAATCACATTAGTTCGATGCTATTGTTGAATAAGGGTGGTTTTGTGTAATGATAACTTTGTTACATTATGTGAAAGTGCATATTTTATAATTTGTGCAAACATTACATAATTCCAGCGGAAATATTATAAATATTCTATTTTACAGAACTAGTATTTTTACTTCTGTTTGTATAAATATGTCTTTATATTCGAAAGATAATTATGATAACAATAATGCATTGTATAGTTCTATGTAAATGTTCTAATTTTTGTAATATGTATAATGTAGGTACCTATGTAGGTGATATTACACACAATATTAAATTTTCGTAAGTATTTTATTTTCAACTTTACGTATGTGAATAAGACATATTTTTAATAGTGGATTTCAAAAATATCTCACTATAATTGTCATAGTTTTTATTGCTATTACAGTGTAATTTATATTATTCCATTTGGACTAATATAATTACTTTTGACACAAAAGAGATTGACTCGATTAATAAGTTACCTATTATTTTGAACATTAAGACAATTAGCGATCGATACTTGAATGAGATCCATCCATTGTGACGATGGATAGACGTCTATATCATCATCCACTGGAACGCATACGCAGGATTGAGTCTCAAGAGTATGGTGATATTGACCACCGCATTGAAAAACGCCGTTTATCACGTGTTTAATATCGGTTCCTGTAAAACAATAAAAAATGATCTTTTTTAACATATTATTTTTTATAGAGGAATATTTGACTCCAGAATTCAATAGCTGATCGAGAGCTTTCCAAAACGCTATAAGAAAATATTTTTTCATTAAATAATTTTTGAGTTATGACGCATTAAAGTTACAGTACCGCCGGCATTGACATTACGTATGGTGTTCGACCGACAGCTAAAACCTTTTAATTGTTCAGGACCATGTCCTTGATAATAATCTTTAAGATCAAGGTTATTAGAGATTGTTTCTCTTATTTTTATTTTTGCACTGAAAATTCATTTTTATGAGATATTTAAGTGTGCCGACATGTGTGACCCTGTATAAAATTGCTAAATTGCAGGGAGTGTTAAAATGTCAATAAGGATTATTACGTTACTGTAGGAGTCCGTGAATGCAGTCGGCCACGTACTGCTATCATTTATTTCAAGTACATGTTAATCAGAAGTTCTATCTTCGTTTGTTAGCAAGTACGTATGTGTACTTTCAGAATTTATGATGTTATTATGTTAATCATGATGTTATTCGATATACTTTTAACGATTTCGTCATAAATTTATGAATTTCTTGAGAAGATTTTGGTTGAAGAATTTTTAGAACTTTTCAAGAACATTTTTTAGTTAAATTCAACTCTTCATATAAAAGTCACAAAAATCATACTCTCAAGAATTAATACAAAATCACCGTCAAAATTGTATCGAATGACCCATGACATCATTGTGATTAAAAAATGTTTTTAACATTATGTTATCTCATTTCTATTATGATTTTGTGTCCTACCTGTTTAAACTGTGATTATATCAAAAACAATATTTATGTCTAATTTTTAATCTTTCACACATAACCAATAATTTTAACGAATAAAATTTCCGAAAGCCTCTCAGCAGAATACTCTCAACAACGTACGTCAAGTTCAAGATCATTGGAGATGACTTTCCTAAACTGAATAATTACCACTTCTAGTAACTTGTACTATTTCGCAAGTTTGTAAATGTGCAGCTTATTCCACTTTTAGCAGAACTTGACACATACATTTACTGCTACCTTTTTCTGATAATTACAATCAAAAAGAAAACAATTTAATTAAATGTTATTAAATCTGCTGTTCTTTATCAGTTTGTACCTTTCCTCTTTGCTGGAATATTGGCGCTTTCCCTGATTCTTGTATTGTCCTGCGAATTTAGAGCATCTTCAATACTTATCACGGGCTTCGTTTTCAGAGGTTCCTTATATATAATTTGTACTAATTTTGCAGCCTCATTCGCTAAACTATGCGTCTCCGCGACGATTACGCCGACCGGTTGGCCAGCATACAAAACATCCTTTTCGGCGAACAGCAACTCATCCTCTGGTAAAGACGTCAACTTGCTGACGGCAGAAATACATAGATTCTTTCCCGGTATATCAACGACGCTGAAGAACGCCTCTACGCCCTTCATTTTTAACGCGTTTCTTGTATCAATACTCTCGATCTCGCCATTACAGATTTCGGTGACGACGAAAGCACAAAACACTTCTCTCAGATATGGACCCATATCATTGCAATATCGGACTTCGCCCGATGTCTGCTCAAAAGCTTCTAATTTTGGCATAGGTTTACTCACTGGCCATAACTCCTTATGCGTGTTGTATTCTTGCTTACCTAAGAAAATTGTGTTTTTTTTTTATACGTATAATTTCGAACAATCAGTCGAAATATATTAAGAGCTCTTTATATATGAATCAATAACAGCTATACTTCAGTATTTCTCTAATATCAAAACCATCAAGATCATTAATGACCTTCCGTACTTGTAAGAGTAATAAATAATGAATTGAAATATATATATATATACAAGAATAAGATTAAGACACAATTCGGAAACAACTGGAATATATCTTCTAACGATGTTAATTATAAGCATACCCATTCTGTATTTGAGTTCTCTTCTGCAGGTAATTTGTACACGACTTCCATACTGAAGAAGTCTCAGATCCCGAATAGGAACGTTTGCAGTTACTTTGTTCGAAAATTGTTCCAATTGCTTCCGAATTATATACTATATCGCTTATCGTCTTATAAAAACGTCATTATTTACATGAATTGCATAGATTTAGATAAATATTTATTATATAATGGAAATATCTATAAAAATATTCTGGACTTTGTTATGTGTACCTGAAGAAACATTTCGTTCTAATAAGGTGCCTCCGCTACGATAAAATGGATCTACTTTCTCCGGTTGGAGGCTTAAAAAAAACTTGTAAAGTAATGCTTCGGCAAGAGTCCTGCGAAATTCCGGGGAGTAATCCGGGAGCACATGATCTGGTTGCAGTTCGACATGTAACATTTCCATAATTAATTTTTGTATTTTTTTGTCGAAGATAGATTTTCCGACCACCAGTTCCTCGGTCTGTTTTGCGTGCAAAAAATGCATGTTGATGCCATTGAAAATGATGTTAGGCAACTTCAACACCTTTTTAAAAAGTATTATAAATGTAAATAAATAAAATTTGAAGAAAATTGAAATATGAGTGAGTAATTAATGATAAAGCAATATAAATAATTTCTAAAGATACCGTTACCTTGCCGTTCTCGTCGATTGGGAAGAGAAAGCCGGCGCCGACGTGACCATGAGCGTTCTGAGCTCTAGGCATAATCTTGTAGAATCTGCATTGGTACGAGTTATCACGTAGCGGATATAGCGTAATTCTATTGATAATTTTATGATCCATCCTGATATTTAGAAATTCGAACAAGAAAAAAATTTGACTCTCAGAGGGACTTTCCTGGACAACTACCTGAGCACCGACAGACTCTAACATCAAAAACAAATCGGATGAAAACTCATTGTGCTGGTGTTTCATCATTAAATTCCCGGCTATTGTGCCAATATTTCGCACGGGGCCGTTTGCAATTAATTCTACATGCTGGGCCAACTGCCTTAGATATTTAAATCCGGTATCATTTGAATATTTCTGAAACGTCTCTAGTGCGGTAGTAAGGGTTAGACTTCCTCCTAAGACCAAATCAATATCTGATTTTAAAATTTTATGCAAGTCTGGAATGTCGTTTATATCAATGTATATATCTTTTTTGCTAGAAAGATAAACACCTGCAAATAAAATTTCCACAATGTTTTATCTATATCAAGGTTAATAATATCTAGATAATTGTATCTATATCAATTATTTTTTATTTAGATAAATGTGAGAATTAACCAATATCGAATGTGACATTGTGAAATAATTGAAATCGTCGCAATTTTTCGTTTTTTGAAAGTCTTAGTAAATCTTGGTATCATACAGGATTATTATTGTTTTTGAGAATTATTAACAAAATCAACATAGCACATTTAATTATAGAAAGATAACATAAAATATTTAGATTCTTTAAATAAGTGATGATAATATGAATATTTTAATTTTATTAGGGGAAGTCCGCTTTTTCATAATACAATATTATTTTTATAAATATTTATTCGATAAAGATGATATATATTCAATATTAATAATGCTCTGTAATGCATGTGTACATAATGATAGTATTATTCAGATGCTTCAGATTTTGACATGCCTACCCAAGCAACTAAGAAATAATAATTATTGTGATCATTTAAATGATTATTTTAATTGATAGTTTTTGTTTTATTCGTATATCAAATATAATCAGCGAGCACAAATTTTGCTCCATTGATACATCTCAGATCAATAACCATCCATCGAGGAGTCTTGTGTCTATAACATCTTCTGTTCACTATATTATAAACACGTACGAAAATTAATTCATTTTTCCGGGACTTTTTATATAATTAGCGCGAACATAAAGTCCTTTATGTATGTATATATTTGTTAGTGGCTATGTCATCTAATACAGAAAAATTACCATGTGCAGTATTTCCTCCATTTAATATATATGTAGCGTTTGGGTTATTATCAAATATCGTAAATACATCCTTGATCGTGGTAACTTTGTAGAAGTGTGCGTCCTTTAACTTTATGATCAACATTTTTTTTTCATCGGAAGGTTGCTTATCGTAGTAACTACGTACACATGGCATTTTATTTTTCTGGCAAGGTTTGATCTTGTATAACTCCTACGAAATATATTTCATTATATTTACAACAAGATGAAAACAAAATGAAAAATGTTATTATAATAACGGATAAATCCTTATTTCTCTGATAACAAATTCAAATTGTACCTGAGAATAAAATAAAACTGAAATCCTAATTTCAAAATAAAGATTAATTTTTTGAAATAGAAAAGAAATTTTTTAAACCTCAATATCTTGAGTATCCTTCACCGTTGATGGATGTGCGTCGGTGGCAAGTCCTTTGAATGCATCCAAAATTGCACGATATCCAGTGCATCGACAAATGTTGCCACCAAATGAACTTTCGATCTGCCGCATAGACAAACCTTTCCCGAGACTGCAAAATATATACATTAATTCATTTTTTAACTCAAAGTTCTTACTTTACAAACGTTCAATTATACTTAATTGTTATTTTTACTTGAACTACATAGCAGTATTATACGAGTTTATGCGTGATTTTAAGTTAGAATTTGTTTATTATGTTACAATTACAATTATAGAGTTTTTTTTTCTAATATAAATATATGTATGTTAATTTTTTAGGGGTACTTTTTTGTATGCTACTTTGTTTCAACGCGCAACATTTCTGAAAGGATTTTATCATAAAGTTAGAAAAGTAAAATATGCTCGAATATAATATTTCTTTAACATAAAAATTAATTAGCAATTTTAATAATTCGTACCTGTACATATTCATCACCATGCCAGGAGAGCAATATCCACATTGCGAGCCATTTTTTTTAGCAAGTGTAGCTTGAATTGCATGATAACCGTCTCGCTTGTTACCTATACCTTCAGTCGTTACAATATTCCATCTGCATCATTTTATGGTACGATATATTAGTTAATATTAATATATTTTTGACATACTCAGAAATTAAAAAACTGAATATAAAAAATGAAATAGATATACATGAATATAAAAAAAGAGATTTTAATATTTTGTTGAATAATTTCTTGTGTGGGACACGACAGTTTCGTGGATGCTCGTAAAATGTTAATACATAAATCTTTAACATTTTAATTAAAAATTAAGTTTGAATGTTAGTTTCTCTTTAATACATATATACATGCACACATACATACCTGTCACAGGTTAATACCAATACAAGACAGGAATTTACGGCTATCGTTTTGTCCTTGAATGTTACACTTACGACACAAGCACCGCAATCACCTGCATGACACATCGCTTTTGTGCCTCGAAATTTCGCATATTCGCGGATGAAGACAAGGAGGGTCGTATCGGCGGGTATACTATCATCGGATACTGAAAGCGATTTTATAATTTTAAAATCCAGTGATAAAGTTCTAACGTACGTATTATCTTTTATTTCTAAAGCTCTTAATCACAGTTCCATAATCAAGTTTTAGAATTTCTATATAATGCTGTTGATATGATTAATTCTTATATAAACGTGATAGATTAGTTTATATAGTAAATAAATGATATAGTTTCTGATTAGATTTTTTAAATATATTTGGGATTTTTTTATATCATAATTTCTCATTTCAGCAAATATCAAATTATATGTACATGTAATTTCTAATTTCCTACTCAACAATATATCTATAATATAACACACGTGTTATATAATAGTTATATCGTTGTGTGCTAAATTATAAATAATGTGTACGTTACATGTAATTTAGTGATTGCTGGGATGTTTCTTTGGATTTTAAAGATATATTTAAAAAATTTTCATTATCTTGATTATGTATTTCATACAAAGAATACATACCCGAATATGATATTCCATTAATTACAAAGGTTATCGTGTTGTTGCCGGATCTAAACATGTTAGATTGGGAAACATTTTAATGTTATCTTTAATAAAAAAGGTATAGATAATATTTTGTAAAAACTTTTATATCTGGTTTTATATTATGCAGTAAATGGATAAATAGATAAAGAATAATAAAATATTTTTTGTTGTAATAAGAAAGTTTGGATCTCGAAAATATTATTAACAAAATTTCATTTTGTGCTTTTATCGCATCAAGCTTTCAATAATTTTCGTATGTTATAAATATTTGTCAGACTCACACTCTTGCCGGTTCCATTTTCACTCATCGGTCGAATTACGCCTAACTATCCCTTGTCTAAAGATATGAAGTACTTAAAGCACTGTCTGTAGGACACTATAGAAACGCTGTCAGAAGATCATCAAAATGGTAATTATTAGACATTCGATAATAATATACTACAATTTTTTTTCTAGTAGTTAATAAATATGCAACAATGCAAGACTGTACGGAGAAATATCGTTGTGGAGCAAATCATATTTATGAAAATGTCATCATTTATACATTAACGTATAAAATATAAATTTTGCACATATTATTAAAAAAAGTTTTCAGTGAAGATTATTTTTTGCATAAAATCGATTAGCAAATAAGAAAGTATGTTTTCTACTTAAATTTTGTTATATATAAGCCTCATTTTTTACACCGATTATTTTATAATGTCCTGGGTAGGCATAACATCAGAAACGAATTCAAGACGTATAAATAATTCAAAATTTTCATGTAGATATTTTTTGTTATTTAACCTTATTTCTGAATTGTAAACGTTTTCGTATCACTAATTTTCGTTACAATTTCAGTCAGCGTATCGACATCACACGTCCTCACGTTCACGCGTCTCCTTACTGACTATCAGTAAACACTTTCTCTGGACATATATCGAACGATATTTGGTTCGCAATGATATGCGAAAACGTTTATAACTGGTAAACAATGTCGAATAAGACAGATGTCTGTATGGATCTATCGTGCCTTAAATCTGTTTCTGAATGTATGTCCACATATTAAACACCCACCTTATGTACTTCGTACATATATTCTTATATACAAGATTTTTGAATTTATATTCCAGGTATACAGCAATTAAAATGACAACTCAGTTATAGAATTTATTTCAAATATTGTTTTATTAACAAACGACTTTTATCTGTGCCGTTACAAAGCACCATGCATCTTTGTTGGTTGAACTGGTTAGAAATATACTTTCTGTAGTACACTGTCGTGAAAAAATTTAATAAATTTTAATATGTTATAGTATTACGTAAATTTATAAATGAATTGGTATTTACAAATCAATTAATCTTTTATTCATATGTATCTGCAACTGTAAGTTTAACGTGTTTTCTCCTTACATAAAGATCGACTTAAATAAGGTAGATGAGATTATTTTGATCAAGTAAAAATAGCACAAGAATAACATCTTTAGCATAAAAAAAAACACATTATATATTCTTCTACTTTGCGGCAACAGCTCATATGTTATTTAATTTTGCATATTAATCCATTATTATATTGCTACAAACTCTATTCGTTATATATTTTACTCTCTCTTTCCCTTACATACATTTTTAATATAAATATTGCAAACACACACATGGACGTCTTTGAGATATCTGCTTATACATATCTAGAGACATAACAATTATTAATTTTGCACATTTACACAAAAAAATAATATACCATTTAACTTTTAATTTCTCTATAGTATTTAATTTTTTTAGACTTTAATTTCTTTAAAGATTTAAATTTTTAATTTATTAACTTTTTTACCGTATTGCAGTTGATGAATTTTGGGTACGATAAAACAGGCCACACATAAGTAACACAATAATTTCATACCATTTTTTTATTAACTATAAAAAATAAAGTTAACACACTATTTTTATGTCTTTCGTACTTTTAATGACAAAATATTTATAATCTTTATAAAAACAAATATATTAGAATTATTAACTTAAAAGAACAAAAACAAGCATATTATTATTTGTGACTTTAAAGCGATATAGAGTATAACCTAATTTTTTTTCGTAACATACCAATAAATTTAATAATACAAAATTGCTTAAGAATTGAAATTACTTATCACGCTCTCTATTACAACATTGCCTTCATCAAGAATTCTTCAAACTAATATATATAAGAAACGAAATGAATTTTTTAAACCTTTTTCTCACTTATCTTAACTTTTAGTATATTTATCGCATCTTTCTCCTCATTATCACTGAAAGCTCAGTTTAACACTCAATAATCAATGATCTAGCGCACTTACATGCATAATTTATACATGATAGTACTTTAAAGTTAATTGTTTGAGTTAATTGTTTGTTAATTGTTTGTTCATAGTTTGTTTAATTGTTTGAGAATTTTCCACTTTCATTCTTAAATCACCATTTTGTCTTTAGTAGTTAAACTAGTTAGAAGTATACGTTCGGTGGTACACGGTCCATCTGCAAACATTACGAATTATGTGTGAATGAATATATATATGTATATATATATATACATATACATATATATACATATATATATACGTATATATACCGAAACATTATTTTATTATGACAGTTTTCCACAAGAAAATACGCGTATATTTCACGCGTGTAATTCACACTCACCCACACAAAAACAGACCACTAAATTATAGTACAAATTTTTTTTAATATCTTTGAATAGTGATATCTCAATGGAAAAAAAATCATTATAGCGAGATAAACCATAAAGCTCAAGTTAAAACTTGGACATTCACCTTGATAATTGTGCAGATCAAATTTAAAATACACAAAGTGAATTACCAAATAGCGGAAGTTGAACAAGGCCATTGAAAGTTAAAATACACAAAGTGAATTACCAAATGGCAGAAGTTGAACAAGGCCATTGAAAGATAAGGAATAAAATTTCTTATTCGAACTAATTGCGTTGCTCAGGGAAATTGGCTGTAAGCCACAAAAGTGCACGAGTTTTTAAAATCATTAATTTCAAAATAAATACATATTTGGAATATTTTTCTACAATGCTTTTTGACAAAGTATTACAAAACGAACAACTTTTTCTTGCAAACTTATTGTTAGTACAACTCAGAAATCATTATACAAAACTTTATCAAAAAAGAAATTAAAGTGTGAATTTCAAATCTTGCCTGAGCAACGCAATAGTTTGAATAAGAAATTTTTTTCCTAATTTTCAATGTCCGGTTTCAATGTCCATCATTTTGTAACACACACTGTGTAATTCAAATTTGATCATGGTAATCAAGGGGAATGTTCAAACTTTAATTTGAACTTTGGTTCATCTCGCTATGATGATTTTTTAGTAAAATATGGTTACTTAAAGATATTAAAAATTTATATTAAAATTTTATGACTTGTTTTTTGCGGGTGAGAATATAAGAAAGAATTATAGAGGAAACAATAAATCACATATTTAATTATATAAACTAATATATTTTTAGTTCATTTACTATAAAATTTAAATGTTTGTTGTGTGTGTGGCCAACTTTGGGTAATATATACCGTTAATCATGATTAATATGAAAACATGGTATTATTCATATAATAGTTTCAAAGAAACGATTAAAATAATATGAGACCATAACATTTGATAATATTTTCCGTTAAATTGTTGTCTCATTCTTTTCGTTATATAGAGAAACGCAGGAAATAAAAAATCAGATTATAAATGGATTTAAAAAATATTGTCTAAATATAAGCGCGCGCGCGCGCGCGAGAGAGAGAGAGAGAGAGAGAGAGAGAGAGAGAGAGAATAAAGTTCAATGGTGATTAAATAATTAGTAATTGTTGCAAGAACTGTAAAAATTAATACAAATCATAAATTTAGACCATTGGAGTTGTATGTTGAATTGTCATAGAAATGAATGTATAATATTTCTGAATAATACTTACCCAGTCGATACCACTCTTCCTCCATCCCTGCCTCTGCTCTAGCGGAATTCAGTGCGTAGCGAAACGCTATTGGAATGACGTAACTCATACAAAGCGGTGCTTCATCGATTGCTGCAAAGATATTTTCAGAGTTAATCAGAAATCGATCTTTTAATATTTCTAATTCTGAGATACCCTAACCAGAGATCTTCTTCATTTTTAAATTTTTTCTTATTTTGTTTATCTTACTTAAATTAAATGAATTATTGAAACACAACACACGCACACAACAACAACACACGCACACACACAACAACACACGCTTAAGGCGATTAGATCTTTATGAGTTTGAAAATTGTTCTAAACGAATTTTCAGGAATCCTTAAATTTTATACAAACATGTAAAAAATCTTTAAAATTTTACGTTTTATAGTAAAAAGTTTAAATAAAAGGGTTTTGATTTCACCTTTTGAACCGTAGGTAACAACTTTGTTGTATGAGTTTTTGCATAAGTATACACGAAAATCTTCGGGTATATCCTTCGCTCCTGGTGGTTTGTAATTCTATGAAAATAATTAGATATTTCAGATAATTTAATTATGTATTTTTAGGACAATCTAGCGTTGCTTTCCATTGTACGCTTAACAAGCGTAAGGTACCATTTTATCTTTGTTGTTCGCAGAGTGTTAAACAAAAATAAAATAATATATAATTATACGTGCAACGAAATGCAGTCCCGAAGTAGTTTTAGCGACATAAGGTGTATCAAAATTTGATAAAAACAACATACATACCCATGTTCTGTCAGTAATTAATTTTCCTGTATCAGGAGTGTACACCAGATCCTCAGAAGTCCAGTATCCTACTCCCATCACGAAAGCTCCCTCCACCTGACCAATGTCAATTGCCGGATTTACGCTTAGACCAGCATCGATCATCAAATCGACTCTTCTGATAATATGCTGGCCAGTCAACAAATCGATCTCGACTTCAGCAGAAGTGACGCCGTAAACGGCGTAAGGCTTCATACTACCTTGCGTTGGCTCAGTCATCAACCTGCCAAGAAATGGATTGTATTATATAATAATTAATAATGTGTGTAGCATCTAGAAATCTCTTCGTATTTTGTAAGTACAAAGTTTGAATTTATTTCGAAATCATTCCAAAAGCACATGATATATATATAAATACGTTTAATACTAATTACAGATAATACAAATTATTTCTTTAAACTATATTTTTTATAATGTATAACTTCTTTTAAGCAAAAGATAAAATAAATGTTTTCTCCCAATGGAAGTACAATATTATCAATTTGTGCTTTAAGACATTGTATGATATAATATATCTCGGATGTGTCAAATATGATTTAATAACATTTACACGTAACGTGTGTATAAATCAACGCCCTCTTCATAAGCTTTAAAAATGAGATCCATCCATGTCGGATTTTTCATTTTTTTTCTTATCGGCTCGAGTCTTTGTAAAATCTGTTCGCAAGCTTGGATCGTTGCCTGAAATATATACAATAATCGATGTCATTACGTTTTTCGTCATAGTGGAAGACGATGTATATATAATATCGTCTTCCACAGTGATGGAGACAAATTGAATACTTACGTATTCACAGGATTCTGTAGTAATGCTGTGCCCTGTAGTCGATACATTTGGTGTAGCTAAATTATTACTTTGTTTAACGGAGATTAATTTGATATCAATATCCAGTGTACGAGCTGTTATTTGAACAATCTGGTGTACAAGAATTAATTTTAAATCGACAGAAATCTAAATCGTTTTACATAATAAATCAAACATTTTCCAGTTTAAATAATTTTATAAGATAATTAATATATGTATTAACAATATATAGAAAATATGTATCCAAAATGAAAAGCGGAAAAATCTAGAAATCTGAGACGTCACAGTTTCGATTCTAATTTTCCAGAATAGAAATTTAGTTTAATGATAATTAGATGAAAACCATGAAAGAACTTGCTGGGATAAATTGAATTTTTTTACCTTCGTATTTATACCTTGATCGATCTCAATTCCGCTGTGCGTCACGCATACCGAACCGTCTCGAGCGCAGACCGACACGGTAGCCTCGAATTGTCCTTTAAACATTATCAAATATTTCATTGGTACCATGGCAATTCCCTTTTTTTTCCAGCGATTGTGAATATTGAAGTCATCAATGGATTCCTTGTTCAAGTTGTAATTGGTCAAATTTGACAAATCATTTATCATGGGTTCTAATACGGATTTATCCGTATCATTCATATTTGCCAATCTGACCTTAATCGGATCCTTGTTCGTCACTTTCGCAATATGCTCCATTATATTTTCCATTATAGCTACTGCTTCCGTAGATCCTGATGCCCGGCAAAATGTATTTGACGGTAAATCGGTTCTCACATCGAATCCGTTGAACTTCCAAGAATCGGTTAAATAGCAGCTTCTAACGATAAAAATCGTTTGTGAGTATATTTAATTAAAAATGAATGATTAAACATGACACACAACACATATGATAGAGTATTTTCAAATTTGATTTAGTTATTTATTGAAATGTATTTAATCATTGTTAATCGAAGTAATGTTTTTTTATTATTATAATATTAGTATTATTATGACATTTTTAATTGAAGTAATTTTTATTATTAATATTAATATTATGATATTTTATCCTTATTTAATTGTATTTCAAAATTTTGTTTGAAATAAAATAAAAATAGTTTTATTAATATTTATATC